CTCTAAACGGGTGGCAACTGTATATTGTAAATTTAGTGAAAGAGACCCTTCATATATTCGGTTCTACGGGGATCAAATATGATACTAATTAAGCCCTGTGAATAAATACAATTTTGTCCTCGATTGTAACATAAAATTTACTAGATAATACTAATAGTAACTACAAGCAATAAAAAATGTACTCTACTTTATTTTTAATGGGAGATAGTTGTTTTGATAAGATACGTAACATTGAAAAATTAGTTAAAATTTGATTTATATTATTTAATTTGAATAGTTTAAATATTTTAATTTCTTTAATTTAATATTTTCATTAAATCTAGTTTATATTAAAATATGATTCTCTTTATCGGTATAATTTTGAGTTTTTCTATTATACGTGAAGTTATTCAATGTTTCAATATATTCTGTGTCATGCCATGCAAGGTGGAGGGTATCACAAAAAATGTACTAGTTTATGCCTATTATGATGTTGATTAGACAAGATGCTCCTTCACTTAACAATCAACCATTGGTTATATGGTGTTCTTTGGATCCTCACCCATTTCTTGAATGACTAAAAATTAAGAAAACTATGTCTCTCACTCTTCAACAAAAGTTGAGTATATGATTATGGCTTCGGTCATTAGTCAAGTGTTTTGGTTGACCCAATTTTGTATCCTTAATTTCACTATTTTGTGTGACAATCAAGAAGTCATCTATATTGTTTCCAAGCCAACATTTCAAGAATGTACAAAACACGTTAAAATAGATACTCACTTTATTCAACATTATGTTCCATTTGAGTTACTTCTACCACATTACACAACATATCCACAAAGTATTATTTGACATATATATTTTTACAAAGGTTCTTGAAAAAAATCATTTTATTTAAATTACTTAGCAAGTTGGACATTTCAACCCTTCATGCCCCCAACTTGGGGGAGAATATTCATATTATCTTATGTTCTCTTTGAATCACTCACCTATTTCTTACCTATATTATTAATTATTATTTTAATAATTGGTTCCCTAATTATTTGTATAAATTGTAATTAGTTAATTAGAAAAATTGTAATTAGCTTCTCTTGAATTAGCAAAAGTTTAGGAAAATAATGTCACGTATTATTCAATAATAGACAAAATTGTGACAATCCCCATATGCACATATTTCTACTTTATTATACAAATATATATACTTAAATTCATGTTGGAAATTATAGATTATTGTAGATGTGTAATAAACTCTCTTTCTCTATATATATTGAGAAAAGAGAAAAGTAAGCATTCTACCTCTACACATAAAGAGACAAAGAAGAAAAAAACTTTTCTACACTTAATTAAGAAGGTTTGGCGAATACTTATGTGACAAACAATATGACCACATTTGTATTATGGATTCACTATCTTTAAAAATGAGATATGGAGGATATGGTCTAAGATTCACCAAAACAAGAAATTCCATGCCATTGAACAATTCAAATAATTTGGTTTTTGTGATTGATCACTCTCTAGGCTATTCAACATAACAAATTGGAACTTATTTAATAAATAAAAAGGATAAACAAATAATCAAGAAAGATGTACCAAAAGTTAAAATGAAGTCATTCTTTTCCCTTTGAGAAAAAATTCTACTTCAATTTTATCTTTCCTCGGCCTTCTTCAAGAAAAGAATCTAATTCCAAACCTATGGTCCCTTGTTATTGAGACATCTAATAAATTTTCTTTAGTATCACTTGTCCTTTCAAAATAAGAAATTGGAAACAAAAGTGAAAAGAGCATTGAAAAAAAATTATTGAAGTTTTAATTTCGATGGATTTACAATACATTTATTTCATCTCTTCATAACATTTTTATCTTAATAATGGTGGTGGTGTGTTGTAACTGTGATGACATGAAAGAAAATGATGATGATACTATTAGTGACACAATGATAATAATAATAATAATTATAACAATAAATATATCACTAATAATAATAATGTCAAGCTACAACAACAAAAGTAACAATAGTAATGATAGACAACGGTCAATGTTATGGGAATAATGTAGTTGTTGTGACAATACAATGTTAGCATTAGTAGCCACAATAGTAGTAATGATTATAACAATGGTATAAAAAAAACAAAAAAATTTAGTTATTAAATGAGGAATAACATATGGATAATTTTATCTTTAGAATATTTTGTAATTAAGACAAGATTATCTTGTTATTTATTATACCTGAATAACAAAATGTTGAGTTTTTTTTTTCTATGTCTTTCTAGGTAATTGTTCCTTCTTATTATTTGATATTTGTTAAAATATTAAATATGAAATAACTGTATTTGTACTATTTATAATTAAAATTAATTGAAATATAATTTAACAAAAATTATATTATGATTTAATATACTATATTTAGTATCAAATATCAAATATTTTTAGTAAATCCAATGAATCCATAATTTTTATTCAAGTATTTATCTAATATTAGAATCAAGAGAGATAATCTATTTATTGTTACCCTAATAACTTCAAACACTTCATTGATAATCCTCAATTTTTCTCCTTTTATATAAAATCTGAATCAACCAATGATAAGATCATAATAATAATAATGTGTATAAGTTGAAAGTAGTCATCATCATATAAGATCATATTTAGACTCTTAATTCATTTTTTAATATGTTATCAAAATTTATATTCTAATAATTATTATTAGACCTATCGCTCCACTCAAGATCAAATTGTTATCAGATCTCTTACAAACATTTAATCTTATAAATTACACTCTTAATATATTCTTAATATATGGATGTTTCACATCAACTTATAATAAAATTATAATAATATATGTAAGTGATAAATATTTTTCTTACACCTTGATGTTATAAAATTGAAATAAGTTTTGTTAATCCTCTTCGCAATCCAGCATATCACATTCAGTTTTCACTTTTATCTTTCTCTCCTCTCTTGATATTTGGTATTCACCATTTATTTTCCAACTATCTGTGAGGGTGTCATCATTGCTTGCATTCTCGATCATCACCACCACTTGGTCCTCTCTCCCACACTCCCTCCATATCCCTCCATCATGGCCTCAGACATTGCCGAAATGCTTAAACAAAACTTCTTGGAATGTGTCCGAGATAGTGAGCTTAACCTAGCATCTACTATCACTCCCCTATTGACTGACATCGCAAACGAATTCACAAATAACAAGGTATTCTGGTCACCTCCCCCGGTTAAATCCCTCTCTTACTTGTACCAACTTGACCATACACTTGCCGAGTGTCGAGCAAACAAGAGAACCTTCTTGTCCTCTTGTCTCGATCCAGTGGAACGTTCCAATGAGAAGACATTGACCTACATCAAGCACAAACTCATCCAGATGAGGGGGAATAACACAGAGAATGCAAACTCAACCTCCATCTTATTCACTTCAAGCATGTACCCTACCAGAAAGGACGCACCAAACATCACCGTATTCGAAAAAGAAATCGAAAAGATTGTAACTTGGCTTGAATCCAATGATGGGTTTAAGGCCATTGGGGTTCACGGGATGTGTGGCACGGGAAAGACTACGCTTGTGAAAATGGTTCTGGATGATCAACGTGTCCGAAAGAAGTACGAGGAGCCACTATGGGTGTGTTTGTACGACTTGACTTCAAGTGATGAAATGGATATAAAGATTGTTAAGGAAATGTTGGCACAATTGGGTGATGACCCTGATTTATTGACGGAGCAGCCTGATCTATTGACGGAGGAGCCTGATCTATTGACGGCGGAGCCTAAAGATGATTGGCTTGTGGAAAGACTCCATGAAAAACTCAAGGGTCGTAGGTATTTGATTGTGTTGGATGGTGTGTGGCATTGTAACGAGTGGTTCAATAATTTATATGATAACAATACTGTGAGATTTTCCCAAGCTTTGCCCAAGGACGAGGGTGGTGCTGTCATTGTCACCAGCAGGCAAAAGGAGGTGACTACTAATAGCGTGTTTGCTTCCGAGTCTAAACGTGAAAATTCACGTTTTCAGGAAGTAAAAAATTTCAACTTCCACGTAAATTTAATTCAAAACGTAAATTTAATTCAAAACGTGGAGAGAGAGTCAAGAATTACGTTTACAAATTCAAACCAAACACACGCTAAGTTGGTGAATGGGAAGAAATTGATTCATCTCGAACCTTGGGATGATGAGAAAATGAAGGAATTTGTGAAGCGATGTTTTGAAAAACAAGGTAAGAGCTCTTCGGAAATCACTCAGGAAAAGATTGATTCCATCGCT